AGCGCTCTTAGGTTGGAGGCCATCGATAGTACGTAGGTTGGAGGCTATCGCTCTTGGGTTGGAGGCCATCGCTCTTGGGTGGGAGGCCATTGCTAGTAGCTTTGGAAGAGATTTGGAATCTTTGAGGGCTTCCAGCTAGAGCTTGTTTCTGCTTTCAAGACTGCAGAACGTGGTGGAGCGAAAAACCTGGGATCCAGCAGCTATGAGGTGTGGCCTGAGCCGGCCTCTCTATGATCTCTCCATTGAGGGACAATCACGAATATTATGCTAAAAATGAATCGTTTAGACGAATAGGTGTCTCGGTGTCTAGAGTTTAAGAGGAGAATGTCATCATCCAGTGAGGCCGTTTAAGAAGATTGTCCTTGCGACTTCATTTGACGCAAAACTGTTTCAGTCTTGTCGCTTGGTCAGTCGCGCGCCACCAGCTCGCCTGAAGCCGGCCCCGCAGATGAGGCGTGCGAACACATGCGGGCAAAGAAGAGAAGCGAAGCGAAGCATGTGGTTTTGTTTGACGAAGCAGCGAAGCATGTGTGGTGTAAACACCTGTCCTTCAGTGGTGCTTTTCCTTTCCCAGAGACTCACCTGAAGATGTTTCACTGGATAAAGTGCAGGCTAAGATCTCATTGTAACAAATTGCAACCTTCCCTTCGCTGAAGCCCATCCTAGGCATCCAGCACCCGCAAAGGAGGCCATGGCACCTCCTAAGGCTCTGTGACTAGACGTGTTTGTTTTTTGTTTTGCTTAAGAGGTGCAAGAAGTCTCTTTGGTCTTTGGGCCACCCGCGCTTTCAAAAGATTTATGGGATCGCGAGGCGTCTCAGGTGGCCAGTTCCCGATCGGATAGAGGTTCCATTAAACTCCTTGATTGGGAGGCGCCCCCTGATCTTGAGAAGAAGCTGGCTGCCAAGTACGGGTTTGGCCGGAAGGAGCTGCTTGCAAGTCTTTTTGGCTTTACCCAACTCATGCAGTAGCTCAGAGTAATAAATTGGCCTGATGTAGTTGCAATGACGATACAACCTGCTTGAATATGAATTGAATACTAGAATACAGAATACAATGTCGACCGTGTTCGCATTTTAAGCGACTTCTTGAAACCTGACCCTTTTGGCAACCTGAGGCACTGGGCGCATGAGGTAACACAGCGGCAGGGAGCACTTTGGCAAGCAGAGGCACCTCATCCTGTCCACTACAAGTGTAAGCCGCATCTCAGACATTTCCTTCATTTGGCCAAAGGTCCCCTCAAAAAATGAAGCTCTGAGTTGTAAATGACAGCAACAGCAGGATTCTATGGCCTTTGGACCTTTGGAATCCTTTGGACACATTCTTGCCGGCTTTACACGACTTTGACAGATGCGACAGCGGCGGATCGATAGTTGGGCATTTGAAGCGCCCATCCGCCAAGTGCCGTCCACTTCGAAGCTCACTGAGGTGCCGTCCCTTGGAAACATTGCTTTTTAGAAGGCTTTTGGAGAATAGTTACTGGTTATGTCGTGTCCAACAGCCTTTCTTTAACAGTAAGACCAAGACCTCAGGTTGACGGCATTCTTGTAGTGGGCAAAGTGCATCGTTGACGCTAAGATCTTCCTTTCGGTCGCAATGTATTGACTGCTTTATCCGACTTGACCCTATTCTTTGTCCATCCTTGTAACATACTATAAATAATCTATTTCACTAATTTCTTTTGCTTGCATTTGAAACCCATACTGGGCCTTGTGGTGTCCTTATAAGAGCTCACAACACGGTTGCTTTGCCAGAAACTTAGTGCCAACAGTGCCAGATGTGGGCTGATGCATCATTCCGGCCATCTCCAGTGTCTCCAAAGCTGTCTGAGGCGGGTCTGGAGGTTTTGCCGTAAAGCTGGTTAATCAGCAAAGCAGTCTGCAGAAAGATCAGACAGCAAGAATGAACAAAGAGGAACAAAGAATTGTAAAGGCCCTCTGTAATGAGGCTTGCTTAAACGGGGGCTTATTTTAGGTTGGAGGCCACAGCTCCTTTTCCCTTCTGTTATCACAGACCGTTTTCTCCACCGAGTGAGGCCACCCGTCGAGAGATGTCGCTGAGTGCGCTGAGCTGTGCCCAGGCCTGGCGTCAGCGTTGAAACAGTAGCGTCCTCTTGCTCCTAGTGGCGATGCCCTTTGTT